GATAATAATTTTGTCCCTAGTATGATATAATTTAGTCTGTGTAGTTTAAATTTTGTGACAATTTAGTTTCTACCCTAAAAAAAATTTATTAAAATTAAATATTGATTTTTATTATGTAATAATTTAATTTTTGTAATTTATAAATAAATTTGGTTTATCGTATACTTACTGATCTACATATAAAAGAAATCTCATTAAATTTTATTAAATTGATACAAACTTAAACTTAAAAGTATATAGGTTAAACCGTTACAGGTTGAAATTCTTTATTTCAATAAAATACATGGAGGAAAACAAATTTTAAATTTTTTTATTTTTTATTTTTTATGTAGCGAGTATTTTAGAGAAAAATACAAATGCAAGCATCGAATGAGAAAGCGTGGACGGCCTGCCGGAAGCACGCGCGAACCCCCTTTAATACAAAAATATTAATTAATTAAGTGCCTAATCAATCATTCCCTTTTTTTCTCAAAAAAAGAATAATTTTTTTTTTTAGGTTCCACCTCACTTCTTTATTTTATTTTATTTCCCCCCCACCCTTTTTTTTGTGGAACACTTCATTCCAATCATATCAATTTAAATTTAATTTCTCTATTTTTTAATCACATTTTCCATTTTTGTTAGAATCTTTACTCCTCCATTCCCCTTTCAGCACCTAGCAAGTTCAACTTTCGAAAGGAAATTATATTTTATATGAAAATCTATATTTGACTACCTTATTTTAAAAAAAGAGAATTAATCATTTCTATTCACTATAGTTCGTCAGCAACTATCTCCAACCAAAAAATTATAAATTCGAGTTTCCACCTACCACTCCGACGTATTATATTAAAAAGAATAAACATTCTTAATTTGGTATAGTTTAATTTAAATATGGTAATTTGTAGTTTTAAAAAAAGTTTTTTGATTTGATGTGTTTTGAACTTAGTTTCAATTTTATTTTTATAATTCAATTAATCTCCTAGATTGTCTAAATCCTTATAAGTGCTTATCATGTCAAATATATAACATGTTTTCTATTATATTAAAATGAGTTGATATTTTACAAATAGTTGACTATGTTAATTGATTATACTCGGATTTAGAGATGAGTAAAATTAGGGGAGGGTGGTAATAAATTACTAATTTGACCTAATTTTAAATATTATACTACAATTTTACGATAATTTAGATTAGATGTGAGATATTTGTTTTATGTATTTGAAGAATTGTAGTGAGATAAAAGATAAATATGATTATTTTAAAAATAAACAATTACTATTTTTTTTATAATATATACATTTGGACACGGCTTGATATTTAAAATATTCTTACTTCTTTTAGAATGCGGTAGAATTTAAATTCTCACTTCTATATTTATGTTATGAAATAGTAAGAAGCTTCCATATTTATTTCAGTTTTACAAGTGAGTAAAAACTTTGTGGCAGCTGAATAACCAACAAAATAATAAATAATATAGAATTAGAACTATTTATTGTTCTATATACGTATTATTTAAGAACACCATTTTTGGGATTAAATATTAGTTTAGTCCATGTATTATTAAGTTTGGTCTATTTTAAAATATCTATTTTTATTCTTATACTTTTAACTTTATTTATTTAGTTTTTGTACTTTCAAAATGTTCGTTGTACTTCTAAAAATTAACCAACGTAGAATTTATTTGTGGCTACATAAAAGTCATTAATACAAATTTATGGCTACATTTCAAACTATTTATTAAGTGGAGTGTTACGGTAAAATTGTGATTAAAAAATAAATGACAACTGAATGATAAATCAAAATGGTAATTTTTTAAGAACGTATACAAATGAACATTTTGAAAGTATAGAGGTTCAAATTAACAAAAGTTTAAAACATGTGAATTAAAATAGACGTCGTAAAAGTGTTTGACTAAAATGAAGGAAAAAAATTAAAATAGATATTTTAAAAATATAAATACTAAAATAAATCAAATTATAATTATCAAAATAATATTTAAACCTAATTTTTATCTCGAGTTAACTTAGGATCGTACTACTTTTTGATGTAATGATTTTTTTTTTCTTTTCTTTTTTTAAGCTAAGTATATGCGGATTAGTTGGAGGTGATTCAACGCCAATAAGTCATACGGTCAATGGTCCATTTAAAATAATATATCTAGAAATTTATATGATTCCATTGCCCAATTGGCCAATTGTTTTTATTTCCGTTTGTATTAAAAAACAATTGTGTATTATTATAACAAAAATTAGCAAAATCACTTCTATTGGTCATAAATCATTGAATTAAATTATGGATCATGTTTGCAATATATTGTGAATGTAGGTTGTCAGAAATAAATTAATAAATAATTGTTTTCCTAAAAAGGAAAATTGCATCAAAGTAAATATTGTCGAAACTTTTGGTTATTTAACTAAATAATATTTCATTTATAAAAAAAATATGCTGTAATGTGATTTATTCAAAATGATGTAATAACTGTGAAAAACATTATTTTATAATTCATGACAAATAACTCAATGATTTCTTAGCATTATATTTGTAAAGAAAAAAAAAGTTAGATAATTAAGTTACGTCTCTTAAAAAATATTTATTTAATATAATGTATGATGGTTTTAATATAATGTAGGATGAAAACCATCATGGATGACTCATTTGTCTAAAAGAACTAAAGTAGATTTAGAGAAAATATATTCAAATTCCATGTATTTCCCTGCACCAAATATTATAAGGTCGGACCACTGTCCCGTGAGACATCTATTGCTAAAAGAACAATAATTATATTACGGCGATTCAATTTCAATAGTTTATTTATATCGGTTTAATAATTTATCATCTTGATGGTATGATTATCCATATTTAGCATATTCTCATGTTAAAAGTATTGAAAGTTGTGACAGTTTTTCGTAGATAGCATGCCGTATGGTCAAATTTTCATAATGCAACCACTCAAATTTCCATTTTAAATATTCATGCTTAACATTTAGCAAATACACAAGTGCACGTTTTTAGCACGATAATTAATTTAGTTTTAATTTGACTTATGTTTTAGTGGAGTAAACATTAATATGCTTTTACAATAACTTTGTTATTAGTTGGTCTAATTTCTACATGACACGACATTAAATATAATGAAACGATAATATAGTTAATATAATACGACAAAATGTAAATGTCATTATATTTATGTGAAGACAGAGAGTACATAACAAATAATAAATAATAAAAAAACTATTGATCCTTCTATGATTCAATATTCATTCCCACAATTATTAAATCAGAGTCGGTAATGTAAATACAAGGAAATAAACTAATATTTCAATATAAACTAGCAACGGTTCAAATTCAATAACCAATAATGTATTTTACCATTTTGTTTTTGTTTTATTTTCTATTTTTCTCCCTCCATTTTTCCTTATCTTCTATAAATACACCCTTTTAAATGTTTCCCTTTCTTAATTTTTAATTTTTATTATATATATTTTTTCATAAAGCAAACAGAAATGAGACGCATGGGATGAGGGATGTTAAATATTCACGGAGCAATGATGCAATGCTTGCCTTTTAAGTTTTTTTATTTTTTATTTTTTTTCTTCTTCTTTTTCTAAGTGTTGTCATTCCAATAAATAATACAATATATATAAAATATATGTTAGTATATCAACTCGATCTCTATAACTTGAACTTAATTGGATTCGATTGGGTTATATAGTTTAGAAAATTTTAATATGATATTTCAGTATTAATATGATATATCTGATTCTAATTTGATTTTTATGATTTTGTCAAATATCACAAATTGTTCATATTGTCGTCCTATCAAATAATGTGCCATGTTTACTATTTATGTGGTACTGAACTAGTGTTTTTTTATTTTGGCAGCTTATATTGGTTGATTATGATTTTATAAAGTTCAAGCTTAAGTAAAAAAAAATAGAAAAATTTAGTGGGTAAACAATCATACAGCGAGAAATGATATGTAAGATTCAACCCAATCATTAGTACCAAATTAAGATCTTTAAAAGAAACTTTTAAAATCATAAGAATTAAATTGAAATTAAAAATAAATTTGTGAGAACTCAATTTAAACTTTAAAAAGTATACACAAAAGTTAAAACTCAACCTAAACGATCGGAATGAATTAATAGGTTAAATTATAATATAAATAACATAACATAAAAGAAAACTAATGAGAATAAGGTAAATTAATTTTTTGAACTTGTAATTTGGGAGTATTTTTTTAGCACAATAACGTGAATATGATATATTTTTTTAGGATGAATTTGGCGTAAACCAAAATGAACCAAATTAAGGTGAACAATGGCTGAGAAGAGAGGGAAAAGGTCAATAGTTTGGGCAAATATTACATCCAAAAACTCTAACATTCAACCACTTTTGTGCTTCAATTTGGTAATTTATAGATTTTTCTCCGTATTAGGTTGGATTTTAAAGATATATGAAATTATTAGTTCGTATATTCACCACAAGATTACTTTTTAATACATTGGAAAAAAATAAAGTTCACTATTAAACTGTAATTATTATATCCAACATTAATATATAGAGTTTTACATAACATATTTTTTATGGTCCACATGAGATACCGCGAACGCTAAGTCATTAATATTATTGTATATAAAACTTGATTTGTCTAGACTTATGTATATACAACGTATATTATTATTGGACAATATCTTGATTTGGCATTTATGCATTTTAGATAAATATTTATAAGTATCTTTGGAGATATCACTAAATTAAATTTTCAAACAAAATCGTGATATTGATACATTTAATATCTTCGTATTCAAAATTTCGAATCGACATATCGATTTGATAAGGGGTAAAAAAAAAAAGAGAGAGAGAGGACGAATAGTGAAAGAGAGAGAGTTACCGAGATCGGCGAGTAAATAGTGGCAATAAAAAGGTAAATAATTCATATAAATAAAAAAAGGACTGGGAAGAAAAAAGAAAAGAAAATAATAAATAAAGAAAAAACAAACTCACCAGAAAAAGAGACTCGCTCTCTCTCTTCACTTTGACAAAATCGTAGTGCAAAAGAGCTGAGTTTTTATTTCCGTTGGTGCCGCCACTGTTTTATGCGCCTCCATCCTCTTCCTCACCACCTAGGGTTATCAAAGCGCCACAGAGGGGACTAATCTCTGGGTTTCGTAGGGTTTTACGAGCTGGATTCTCTCTCATTTCTCCGGCGAATCTCCACGCGCCGCTGGTTAAGCGGCTTCGTCGATTAGTTTTCAATTCCTGTTGTTTCTTTGGGCAGTTGGCACGGCTTCTAGCTCGCCTACCTTTTACCGATCCAACGAGCGTCTTCAGAAACCCAATGGTTTTCGTAATCCATTTGGAAGGGGGTATGGTCGTACGATTAGGGCAACGTTGATTGGTTGTTTCGGGATTGGTTTTGTGTGTTCGAGGGTTTTGGATTTGGATGGCATTGGGGGATTTGATGGCCTCTCGGATTTCTCAATCTTCGCTGGCTGTGGTTTCGAATCACTTGGATGACTGTGCTTCTTCCAACCACGAGGAGGATGGGGATTTAGTTTCGCTGAGAAGGGATTCGGAGACTGCGAGTAGTAGTTATGGCAATGCTGCCGTCAGTACTGCCACAACCATGGTCTACTTGCCGCAGACTATAGTGTTATGTGAGCTTCGACACGATGCATTTGAGGCTTGCCTGCCTGCCGGTCCATCTGATAGCGGGTTGGTCTCTAAATGGAGGCCTAAAGACCGAGTAAGCCATCAGTTTCTGTATCAAGCTTTTTTGTTATTTCCATTCTCTTAACTGTTTTTGTCTTTGATGGCTGAATACACGCTCAATAACTTCCATTTTCTTCATGGGGCTGTCACTAGCTAACCATGTTAGGATTCACGCTCCATAGTTCATTTCTGCTACCTCTCATGGATACGATCATTGCTGTAGATAGAGTTTCTAACATTTCTTATGAAAACTCGCTATATATCCTTTTCCTCATTATCTGTCGGGAAAAGGGTATTATATAGGTATATTCGGAATAATAACTGATAATACATGTGAAGTTATTTGAAATTATTAAGATATGTATAGTAGGTAGGATGTTTAGCAATGGGATCCCTGTTTCTAAACTTGTATTTCATTGAATGACCGATCTAAATCATTAGTTGTTCTACAAATGCATTTGGAGATGCATAGTTTAATTGTGTGTAAATGAAGAATTTTCATCACTGGGACATCACCTATCCTCATTGAAGTGTAGTTTTTTTGAATGTGGTGGTTTCTAAGGTGCTTATTGCAGTTCATCATATATTAATTTGTTGAGATTGTTATCTTGTTCGAGAATTCCAATTTAGGWTTTTATGGGAATAATTAGACTCCAGAATAATCAAGATGTTTGTAACCACTAAAATGCCTACTGAATCTACCCTATTATTCCAGCATTGAGTTGGATTCGCTAGAACTGAGGTGGTCAACAGTGAACAGTCAACTCCACTTTACCGCACCACCACCCCACACACACCCACACTTTTGGAACATTTTGACAGTGAAGTATTGCTTAAATGGAGCTTCTGCACTTGGAAAGTCTTTACTTCTGCTTCAGTGGCCAGTTATTTTTAACCTTGGTCAAAGCTTTGAGTGTAACGGCACCATATGCAATGTTCAAGATTTGATCGTCTATTGATAGGATGAAATGGAAATTTGAAAGTTCAAATGTAAAAGGTTGATCGAATTAATTTGGAGGATAACACATTACTTAATTGTTAGGGGAGACCGTATATATCTTGGCTGGTTATTCTGGTTGTACGACCTAGTATAAAACAATCAGATAGATACTCTGTTTTACTTTTGGGGCTAACCTCTTGAAGATGAGATATATAGATATAATTGAATATGTACTAAATGTTTAGTTGTATGGCATAGAAGTATAAAGGGATTTTTTTGGATGTCATGCCAAGGAAATAAGGATTTTATCTGGATTTATGGAGTTTAAGTAATTGACTGCCAGCCATTTAGTGGAATTGGATTTTATTATTAGTGGCTCTTTTTTCCTTGAATCAGCATATTTTGATGTACGCAGCAATGTCTTTGAGATGGCTAAGTGGCTTTTATTCCTGACGTAATTGCTTCACAACATAGATTTATAGACTAGTTTCTATCTGGTCTTTCTGGTCTAGTAATCAAGTTTGAAACAATTATCAATAAGTGGCAGGTTAAAGCTTTTATCTCAATAGGAAATTGGAAGTGTTAGTGTATTACTTGAGTCTTGGCAGCATCTGTTTAATATTTCTTTTATTTTTAATTTTCCTTCCTATTCTATGAAGTGCTTGTACAACTTATGAGATTATCCGGATATTTTAACTGATACCCTTTTTATGCAGATGAAGACAGGATGTGTAGCTCTAGTTTTGTGTTTAAACATTAGTGTTGATCCACCAGATGTAATTAAGATTTCTCCTTGTGCCAGAATGGAGTGCTGGATAGGTGCATATTTTACATCATTTTTGCTCTTGTGCTTTAATTACTGCTTCTATTTGAGTAATCTTTTGTTTATTAAATCCATTACCATGTATCATTGCAATTGCTATGATTTGAAATATTGTCAAATAAATGTGGATCCAATTAATAAATTAGTCAACCCAATTAACAAATTACCAGGCTCCCAAGGATGTAATAAAGACGTTCATTAATTGTTTCCATTGCACATATGTTGTATGAAATGTTTGTGAGGTTTATCTCTTATACATAAAGTGTTAAAGCATGATGTAATAATGCAGAATATCTTCTATTTAGTATTTCGACTACTGTATTGCATCAAATAGACAAATATATATTTGTATCCTTGAAACTGACTATTTTATATATATAAATACAAATATAAATACATATTCATTTTTTTTGTACACCTGTAGCTTTATACATCATGTAATTCTGCATTATTTCTGCTATAAATTTATCACCGTAATTACATTTTTTTTGGCTATTTGATACTTTTTTGCTTGGATTTCTCTTAAATTTATTTTTATTCAAGTATTAAATGTTGATGGCAGTCCGACTTGTTTGAAATCTGCCGCAATCCAATTCTACAGCTTAAAGAAGATAGTAAAAAGTACTTTGGTGTTTAAAACTAACACTATTGCCTGAATCAAACCTTCTGCGGGTGGATCTTGGTTGATGAACATTTGCCTAGTTAGGTCTTCTTGTGCAATTGTCCATCCCATTTTTAACTCAGTCCCATTATTTATTTATTTATTTTTACTATGGTTTTAGGGCTGCCTTGCAATATCTTTCTGTGGATGCTGTTTATGTGTTATTTCTAGTCTATATCAAAGCATTTTTGTTGAATTCTGTCTTAATGCATTTGCTTCCTGAGGAAGTAGAGGACGTGACAGGAATTGGGTTTGACATTTCAGTCTGGTTGCAGTTAAATTACATGCACTCTGTTATCATTTAGGTTTGTTAACATGTATTTTGTTGTGCAGATCCATTTTCTATGGCACCCCAAAAAGCACTTGAAACTATTGGCAAAACATTGAGTGTGCAGTATGAGAGGTGGCAACCCAGGGTGGAGACCATTATGCCCAGCACTTTGTATGATTAGTTTAATTGCTAGTCTGTATTTTAATTTGATGACTTGTATGCAGGCTCGTTATAAGGTTCAGCTGGATCCCACAGTGGAAGAGGTAAAGAAGCTTTGTAGTACATGTCGCAAGTATGCAAAATCTGAAAGGGTTCTCTTTCATTATAACGGACATGGTGTCCCAAAGCCAACTGCTAGTGGTGAAATTTGGCTTTTCAACAAGGTCTATACGTTGATATATTATAGTTTTCCTGTTAGTAGCTGTTATTGTCTTATTCTCACAGTTTACCATGGTGCAGAGTTATACCCAATATATCCCCTTACCTATTAGTGACCTGGACTCGTGGTTGAAGACACCTTCGATCTATGTGTTTGACTGTTCTGCTGCTGGGATGATAGTCAATGCCTTCACTGAGGTGCTTACTGTCCACTATGCTTTTTTGCCTTATTTATTAATCTGCACTAATTTATCATGATGTCTTTTTTTGGATAAGGTTCATGATGTTGTTCCTACCCTTAACTATTTTGGAATTGTTCTTATTTTGTAGCTTCACGATCCCTCTGGATCAGCAAGGGATTGCATTTTGCTTGCAGCATGTGAATCACATGAAACTCTTCCGCAAAGAGCTGAATTTCCTGCAGATGTTTTTACCTCTTGCCTTACAACACCCATCAAGATGGCCTTGAGATGGTAACTTATCTTCTCATTCATTTATCTCCGACCAACACTCATAATTTTTGTGTACAAGTTTGTTTGCTTAAATTATGCCAATTGATTCCTTTTAGTTTTAACCAAGGCTTTGAATTGTAGATGTCGACTGGATTCTTCTGTTTGCCTATGAAAAACAGAAAAAGGTTCTTTATGACTTGCATTATTGAAGATTAGGTTTAGAATTTATGGATTTTAGAACTGTTAGGTTCCTGATTCAACTACATGACCTATCTAGACTAGGAAGCCTTTTCTTGAATTTGATATAACCACGTGCATAAAGTTACTATGGAAAATAGCTAAAGATTAAATATACATGTGAAAGAAATTTGAGCTGTTTGATGTCAAATTCAGATATGGTTTCTGTTTTTGCAAATACTGTATACAATGAGTATATAGGATACTATTTTTGGATATAATTTTAAAGTGGAAGGATTTTTAAGAATTAGAAGTTTTTTCTTCTATGTTTCTGAGAGGAACCAAATATTGAAATATAAAAGATTGAAGAACTATAATAACTCCTAAGTACTTCGAGGTACTTGGACCTTCCTCACCTACCTTCGTCCCTTCTCCCTCACTCTATTTATAACAAAACGCTTATCTAATTACTCTAATATGCCCTTAATACCCTAATAATATTTTTAATTATATCCTAATAGCATTTCTATAGTTTATATTTCAATATATTTCAGTATTTGGTTCCCATTAGTTTCTACATTCCATTCTCTTTACTTCTCTTTGCTCGTGTAGGAAAAGTTTAATAAAAGTAATGAACCTGATTTATGTATTTGTACTCAGGGATTTTTATTTATGGGTCTGTAATGGGTACTGCTAACCCTGAGTATTATCCATTTTATATATAATATGTATTAAAGAAAATATAGTTATGAATTATTATGTAATACTAAAATTTCATCTAGTTAGATGTTTAAGAATTCAATACATCTCAGTATTTGGTTCCTATCAGTTTCTACATTCCATTTTCTTCACTTCTCTTTCTCATATAGGAAAAGTTTATGAAAAGTAATGAATCTGATCTATACAATCGATTAGTTATCAATTATTATGTAAATATTAAAATGTCATCTAATTTTAGATGCTTAATAATTCAATATATTTCAGTATTTGGTTCCTATCAGTTTCTACATTCCTCACTTGTCTGAACTCATATAGGAAAAGTTTAATAAAAGTGATGAACCTGATCTGTACAATTAATTAGTTATCAAATATTATGTAAATATGTAAATTTCATCTAATTAAATGTTTAAGAATTCAATTTAAAATTTAAAAATTGTTTAAATATCTATTACTTTTGAATGTAATTTGGTAATAGAAGCCACTTATGCTCTCTTATATTTTGAGAATCATTCTTCACGTGTTTCTGGTTTTTGAATAGGTTTTAGATTCGACCCTTTCTGTTTAGTTCAATATTTTTAAAGAATTCCTTTTCTATTTATAATCTATTTTCTTTATGTCTGGTTTGTTTATTGATTTTTAATAGTTTCTTGGATGTTCTTTTACGATGGGATCTTGTTTTTCAGGTTTTGCAAACGTTCTTTACTTCGTGAATCCCTTGATGATTCACTGATAGATAAAATACCTGGTCGGCAAACTGATCGGAAGACACTTCTTGGGGAATTGAATTGGATTTTCACAGCTGTCACTGACACAATTGCCTGGAATGTTCTGCCGCATGGTAGTTCTCAAATTTACTCAACCAATGCTGTCCCTTTTCATTATTGTCATATCTAATATGCTACTTTGGTGCAGATCTATTTCAAAGGTTGTTCAGACAGGATTTGTTAGTTGCCAGTCTATTCAGAAATTTTTTGCTTGCTGAGCGGATTATGCGGTCTGCAAACTGTTCACCAATTTCACATCCAATGTTGCCTCCAACCCATCAGCATCATATGTGGTGGAGTTTCAGAAACACTTGATATTTGGTTCTGGTAACGTCCAATTGGTTTGATGACCTCATTGTGGATGTTCTGCTTCTTTCAGGGATGCCTGGGACATGGCTGCTGAGATCTGTCTTTCTCAACTTCCAGCGTTGGTAGAAGATCCTAATTTGGAGTTTCAGGTCTGTTTTTTAATATTTATGGGTGGTTTACTTATTTGTACTTTTTGGAGCTTGGAATGTAAAAATGATTTTTTCTTAAACAAAAAACCAGCTTTTCATTGATAATTGATTAGTGAAAGGTACAAAGTAAAGTCTAATATACCATGTGTTATACTTGCAAGGTTAACTCTCCAATGGAGCTTACAAAAATCTACACCAATTTATGTTAATTATAAAGCGGGTTAGATGCTAAATTAGCTATCTATATTGCTACCCATACAAATCCAAACAGAGACATGAAAATTTGCTAATTCAAATGCTTCGCTCCAATCTTTTGCCTTTATATCACTTTCTAATCAAATGTTCCATCCCGATTTGATAGCAATTATTCTAAGTTCCTTAAATATCATCTTAAAAGGGTGGCTATGTGGCAATTGAAGTAAATTTCCCATCCAAAAAGTATCCCCCAAAGGTTCATAAATTGGCTGTAGTGAGCTATAAATTGTCCTTCTAAAGGAACAAAGGAAGAAAGTATGGTCCATTTCTTGCTACCAAACAAGGAGAGCACCAAGAAAGATTCAAGGCCAACTTGGGGTATCTATTTTGTAGCCTTTATGTTGTATTGAACCGCACAAAGGTGAACTTTCCAGATGAAAACTTTAACCTTTTCTTGGGTACTTTCGGTTCCAAATTTATTTTGGAAAGTTATTCTGCTAAGCTTTTCCCAACCTCTGTTTGGTTATGAAACAAGGATTGAACTGAAGCAAGCGTGAAGGATGCAAGTTCCAAATCCTCTCATCCTTTCTTATCCCAATATGTTTATTTTCTGGCAGCCTTAATAATAAATAAGTCATTGAGCCCATCAATTTAAAGCCTAGCCAGCCTGTTGTCAACACCTCCCCCCACTACTTTTTAATCAAGTTTGGAAGATCCAATTCATTAAGCAAAAATTTTTGAAATGGACCCAAAATGGGGCCCCTGTTTTCAACATCTAAGGGGTATGGTTTGAAATCATTATCACACGTTTTGAATCTCTTCCATCAATTTCAAAATTTTGTGGTCTGAAAGATCATCCTTTGAATCTTTTATTAAAATGTTTTTCTTCGTAATATTCCAGCCAAGTCCATTTTTCACCGAACAGTTGACGGCTTTTGAGGTATGGCTTGATCATGGATCCGAAAGTAAGAAACCTCCAGAACAGTTACCTATTGTCCTTCAGGTACCAAAAGCCACTATCATTTCTTTGATACTTGTCTTTCTTGGATTATGGTCGTTGACTTTGTTATATTTTTTGAATTGTGTGCATTCATTATTTTAGTTTTTGAGCTGCACTTCCAAAATTTTGCATTTTGTCTAGAGAGCTGGTGTGTTGTCGAATATCAATATCCTTTTCTCTATTCTATCGCTGTAATGACTTCAGTCCTGCTTGAATCCATGGTTGGAACGTTGTTTATGAACAGCGATACGACTTGTCCATGTGAATGGATATGATCGTGGAACTTATAATCAAGCAGTGCCTTGAAGTTTTCCTGTCTTGTCATATTTGATCTTGATAGCACCTTTTTTTTCCCTTGAATAACTGGGAGTTGGAGCTTTGCTCCCCTATTCGATCTTGATAGCACTTGTATGATAAATTTTGTTTTACCATACTTCTCCATGCTTATTGTTGAGTGGGCTCTAGGACTTTCAACTCTACATGTTGGATACTTGATTTTAGCACAAGAGAATGGTTGCCAAGCTTTCTTTAAATTAGTGATCCTTTGTTTCTGCTGGAAGGAGTAGTACTTAAGTCTAGACATCCAAATCTAAACCTGTTATGTTCCTTCTCATGCTAGCCTTCTTGTGTGTGTGTGTGTGTTCAAATAATATGCATTTTTATAGTTTTCTGGGGTTGCTAATGCTGCCATCCATATTGTGTGGAGAGATCAATGTTAATCCCCTGAACGTTTTCAAATTTCTTTGTCATTGTCCACTTGCTTTCCTTAACTTTTCCGTCCTCACTGTATACTATAGCTAAGCATTTCATCCGTCTCCATAGAGTAAACAGTTCTTCTTTCTTTTTAATTTTTTGTGTATAATTACAGCAGAGTGACCTTTGTCATAGGTTTTGCTCAGCCAAGGACATCGATTCAGGGCGCTGGTTCTTCTTGGTAGATTCCTTGATATGGGACCTTGGGCTGTAGATCTGGTAGTTTTACTCAAGACTTTGTCAACCACTACTTTCATTTATTTCTTCTCCTTTTTCATACTCTCTCTCTCTCTCTCGGACAATTATTGTTAGTTGCTTGTGAAACAAATTCATTTTTAGGCCTTGTCCGTTGGAATATTTCCATATGTTCTAAAGCTTCTGCAGACAACAACACCTGAGCTGCGACAAATTCTGGTTTTTATTTGGACAAAGATACTGGCCCTAGATAAGGTAGGTTTTTTTTTTATTATTTATTTATTTTGATTTTTGTTGCAATTGTGGCTTGAAAGAAGGGTGTTCTTTTGATGGGATAACTGAATCTCTTTGCCTTATGGGTTTGTTGTTTTATTGCTTTGTCTCGGAGGTTCTTAGCTAAGGAATTTTGTAACTGTTGTCCTTTGGTGCCAACCAGCAAGTGTATCTGCAATCCTTGTTGGTTTGTTCTTGGGAGGGTACCTTTATCTTATCTTCCCTCTGTGATTTTGTTTACAATCCTTTTTTTATAATGATATGGGTGGTTTTGTTTCTTACTAAAATGGTTTTTACAAATATAAGGATATATGAGATTTGTCCTATCACGTATGTATGTATGTATGTATGTTAGAAAACGTGTAGTTTTGTACGAATCCATGTTTTTTCTGTTCTCTATCCTTAATGGTCTCTTTACTTTCTTTTTCATAATTCATTTTATTGATTCTCAATCTCATATCTCATATTTATATGTTTATATAGAATTACTATCACAATTGGAGACAAACTACCTAACTATTACAAGAATATAAATTAGAGGAGCAAGTAGTAATATTGGACATGTTTGACTCTCAAATTATTTATTTATGGAACAATCACTATGATTTGAAGAATCAATAATCAACAAGGGTATTTTTGATAATTTTTTAGTTGAGGTATTTGTCGTTCAGGCAGCCCAGTTGGTAAGAGCTTGGAGTCTCTTGGTTATACTGGCTTAGAAGTCTCAAGTTCGAAACTTCTGGTGAACTTAATACCAAAAACTCTCGATGTCTCCCGGATCTGGCTTTGGGGCGGGTGTGGGTGCCCCTGGGTATAGTGGAGCAAAGCTCCAAACTCCCAGTTACCAAAAAAAAAACAGGGTGCTGATTGTTAATTTCTTAATACTCTTAAGAGTAGATTTTTGAGAATATGAAAAGTATTATTGTTATTGCCATATTCCTGCTTAGTTCATACCGAGAGGTTGGTCTATTGGGGACATAAGTTTATGTGTTAAAAACTTCTGGCATGCTGTTTTATCACCTTGAATCTCTCTCTATAATTTTTCTCCACGTTTCTTGTGGGCAATTTTAATTATAACTCTTCTGGAATGACAGTCTTGCCAGGTTGATTTAGTAAAGGATGGTGGCCATACATATTTCATCCGCTTTCTTGATAGCTTGGAAGCTTATCCAGAACAGCGTGCAATGGCTGCTTTTGTTTTAGCTGTAATTGTTGATGGACACAGGCGAGGCCAGGAAGCATGCATTGAGGCAAATTTAATCCATGTATGCTTGAAGCATCTTCAGAGTTCAACGCCAAATGATGGACAAACTGAGCCCCTATTTCTTCAATGGCTTTGTCTTTGTCTGGGAAAACTGTGGGAAGACTATATAGATGCTCAAATAATAGGATTGCAGGCTGATGCCCCTGGTGTCTTTACTTCTTTATTGGCTGAGCCGCAACCAGAGGTTCATCATTTAGTTCACTCTGTACTTAATCTTTGATATATAAGTGGATATACACTTGAGCCTAAATTGTATATCTCAAATGTAGATTTCAATTTCAGGTTAGGGCTTCAGCAATTTTTGCACTGGGTACCCTACTTGATGTAGGGAGTGACTCATCTAGAGATGGCGTTGGAGATGATGATTGTGATGATGATGAAAAGATTAGGGCTGAAACCAGTATTGTTGGAAGTCTTTTAAGTGTTGTTTCAGATGGAAGTCCACTTGTTAGGGCAGAGGTTGCCGTTGGTATGCTTTCTTTCCCCCTCATTTTCTGGTTATTTTTTTGCTGCCTCTTGATGGTTGATTAGAATTCTATTTATAGTGCTGTTTGCATTAAAGTTAGGTTGAAAAATTTGGAAGGTCCTTTTGTAATTTCCTTGGCACTGGCCAGCTTTATTCCCCTCTTTTGTAAATTTATCTTGAATGAAATTTGTTCGTACTTAAAAAGAAAGAAAATTGGGTTGAACCTGGTGGTGAATTTTCTGGAAATTGTAACAATCAGCTAGTATCCATTATAGTTTTTTGTACCTTTTGAAGTTTCGACTTGTTGAGTGATTGATATCAGTTTGATTGGATTTAGACACCTTATTTATTTATTATTTATTATTGATAAGAAACAGAAGAAAGTCTCCTAAGAGAGACTGATAGGAAAGCCCTTCCTCTTGGGGTAACTGGTAACTAGGAATATTAGTAGGTCAATAAGGGCGTATTAGTTATTAGACAAGTTATTGGTTATAAATAGAGGTCGTGAGATGAGATGTAGATAGACAATTGTTTAAGTTATTGGTTATAAATAGAGGGCGTGAGATGAGATGAAGATAGACAATTGTTAGTCTGGTTTAGGCTTAAGTAAGAATACTTGAGAGCGGGGAGGGTGACTATGTGAGTCTAAGTAACTCAAATTACTTGAGATTTATTGTAGTTCTTCTCTCTTTTATATTTCAATATTATTCTAGTTCTCTGGTTCCTATCAAAATAAAGTCTCCTAAATGAAGTCTCTTTGGGGAGACTTTTTTCCCTTATTTTTTAATTATTTATTATTATTTTTTAATTTATAACGTTAAGATTATAATACAATCTCATTTTGATGTCTACATCTTTTCAATATGTACAACCTATGTGTTTCTGGTCTGAACTTTTATTTAGGGTGTATGCTGTACTAGAGTACAAACACTGCAACCTTCAAGTTTTGGAATCAAGCCCATGTTATCATTAGTTTTATTCCTTCACCAGTAGGTTTTCTTTCTCCTAATAAACAGTTTTTTCTTAACCATGAACACGATCTGTTCTATAGGTTGTATAGCTACATCCTTAAGTTCTAAATTATCAGTCTCGTTTTTTTAATTCAGTCTGCTAAATATGTGCCGAGTGTTTTGATTCGTAATGATTTCAAAATGCTTATGTTTTTACAGCTCTTGCTCGCTTTGCCTTTGGCCACAACAAGCACCTTAAGTCAATTGCTGCGGCATATTGGAAGCCCCATTGTAATTCTTTATTAAGCTCTCTACCTTCTTTGGCTCATATTAGAAGTTCAGGCACTGCGTATACTAATTCAAATCAACACATGCCACATGCAAGCATTGTTTCCTCTCAAATTGGTCCTTTGTTGAGATTTGGAAATGAAAACTCAACGTTAGGTAGAGATGGAAGGGTCTCAACCAGTAGTCCTCTTGCTAACACCGGAATGATGCATGGATCTCCACTTTCAGATGATTCATCTCAGCATTCGGATTCTGGAGTTTTGCATGAAGATGCAGTGAGTAATGGAGCTGTTAATCATTCCAGGCCTAAACCTCTAAATAATGCGTTGTATTCACAATGTGTTTTGACAATGTGTACTTTAGCCAATGACCCATCACCTCGCATTGCAAGCCTTGGTAGGCGGGTCTTGTCTATTATTGGTATTGAACAAGTTGTAACGAAACCCGTAAAGTCCAGTAGTAGTGGCCTTAAGCCCACTGATGTTACAGCAGCATCTCAGCCTTCTACTTTTGCTGGACTAGCTCGTTCATCTTCATGGTTTGATATGAATGCAGGTATGCTTATTTTGGCTCGCCATGCATTATTTAAACAGTGCTTTGGTTACCTCGAATGTTGGTTACTTGTTCTGTGTTGCTGCTCTCTCTCTGTATCAAAAAATAAATTTAGTGCATGGCGCTTATAATTGTGATTTTATCTCTGCTTTCTTCCCGATTATGAAAATTTGATTCTATGGTCAGGTCATTTGCCCTTAACTTTCCGAACTCCTCCAGTCAGTCCTCCCAGACCAAGTTACTTGACTGGCATGCGAAGAGTTTGCTCATTAGAGTTCAGGCCTCAGATTATGAATTCTCCTGACTCTGGGTTGGCTGATCCACTGTGGGGTTCAGGTGGAACTCCAGGAACATCCGAGCGCAGTTTTCTTCCACAATCAACCATCTATAATTGGAGCTGTGGGCATTTCTCAAAGCCACTTCTCACTGCTGGTGATGATGGTGAAGAAATTTTTACTAGAAGAGAGGAGAGAGAGAAATTTGCACTGGAACGTATAGCCAAATGCCAGCATTCTCGTAAGCCTCGATTTTATATTAATTCATGATATTTTTTCTTCTCAAGATTGAATTTGATAGAGGATCTATCTCTTGTCTTCTTTTCTTTTTTCAAATAAAAAACTCATCAGCTGTAAGTAAGCTGAACAACAACCCAATTGCTAGCTGGGACACAAAGTTTGAAATGGGTACAAAAACAATATTGCTGCAACCATTCTCTCCCATCGTTGTCGCTGCTGATGAGAATGAGCGAATTAGGTATGAGTGCTTTTTAATATTTTTTTCTTGCCGTAGATTTCTAGTAGATTATGTTGTTGCTCAAGATAGAAATAGCTGACTGTTACGTTTGGGTATTTCCCAAGTCAGATGAAACATGTAGTGCTTAGCTGTAGCATTTTTCTATTGTTGTGATTATATCTTTGGAGACTACCGGTTCATTTGGAAAGTCAGTTTTTGGTCACGTTGAGCACAAATTCGAGTATGGTTCATTTGTTGTTTAAAGCTTCTCCATAACCATTTTTCCACTGATTGTTACCCTCGAACTTTTTGGCATGTTTCTCCAGGGTCTGGAATTATGAGGAACCGGCTCTTCTGAACAGTTTTGATAACCATGATTTTCCTGACAAAGGAATTTCAAAACTGTGTCTCGTGAATGAGCTTGATGATAGCTTGCTTTTGGCTGCTTCAAGTAATTCTTTTTACTGCCTTTTTCTTCAAATAATTTTTATGGTGGTCATATTCATATAATTCTAGAGCTTTGTTGGGTGGCTTACTTCAACTTTGCCCATATCCTTTAGGCGATGGAAGTATTCGAATTTGGAAAGATTACACTCTGAAGGGCAAACAGAAGCTTGTAACTGCATTCTCTGCAATCCAAGGGCACAAACCTGGGGTTCGTAGTATAAATGCTGTTGTGGACTGGCAACAACAGTCTGGATATCTGGTATGTAATTAGTTTAGATTCTATCTCCCCTTTCCCCAAAAACATAGAAAGGAATAAAAAAGATCATATTTATTGTTTCTTTTATTATGTGGTTTGCAGTATGCATCCGGTGAGATCTCATCTATTATGCTTTGGGACCTAGATAAGGAGCAACTTGTTAAACCTATTCCTTCATCATCAGATTGCAGCATCTCAGCATTGGTGAGTTTCACCTCTTCATAATACTTTAGTTAGGATGTAGCAGAGCAGGTTACTCCCCCTATTTAAGTCACCTTGAACTGCTTATGCATATAGCTTAACATCTTATTTCCTATGCATTGCTTTGTGAATAATTAGGATTTTTTTTGAGAGTTGACAGTCTAATGTCTGTGTTTATCCTAATACAAATTGATGCTACCTCGTACGCATTGTCTGTGTTTATCCTAGTACCATATTAATGCGATCCGAGGCAAGTTAACGTGCCTATCTTAAAAATTATTGTAGCAATTAATAAGATATTGTTGCCTTTAAATTGTTTTATTGCGAATACAGAAAAAATGTTGTTTTCTTTTTTGTTTCTCTGGTGATCCTTTTTCTCCTCCTTTTTGCCTTTACGTTTTTATACTTGCTAAGCATGTTATGTTTTGTTTAAGCTTTTGAGATTGTCAGTTCTTGTTTTGGATGCTTAGTCTTACGAAATAACAATTGGTATAATGAGATAATTGATTGACAAATCACTTCTCTAATCCGTTGTACTTATCTGAGGAAGGGTACATGGGAGCTACTGGGATATGAGGATATGTATGGGTAATTACAAGGGAGTTAGAAGGATATATGGATATGTACGGGTAGTTACTAAAAGTAAATAGTATATAAGGCTTGGTAGTTAGAAAAGAGGACATCTTCATCTTATGTGTATCGTAGAGAGAACAGACCTCTTGAAAGTCTGTGAATTATGTAAATATCTCCCTCTATGTAAATAAAGGGAAAATTGCTATTGTTTGTCTATTAATAACCTGTATGTTTATTTTTAAAGAATTCTTATGTTCATGCTTTTGCAGTCTGCTTCTCAAGTTCATGGGGGTCAGCTTGCAGCTGGTTTCCTAGATGGTTCTGTTAAACTTTATGATGTTCGCACTCCTGAAATGTAAGGAAAAATATCTCCCTCAATGCTTTTGTTTGAATTAAGTCATCAGTTGGTTAAGCTTCTCGTACTTGCTTGCGGACTAGTTATTTCCTCCAATTTTTATGCGTATGAAACATTAGTATTGTGTTTCAATGAAAAGTCTTTTTGTCCATCAGAATCCCGAGTAACACTTTTAGCATGTTTCTGAAATTATATTTTCTCATTTTATATCTAATTCGTGCCTTCTAAAACCTTTTTATCTTGATTCGTAGGCTTGTTTGCACGATGCGCCCACATGTGCAAAAAGTAGAAAAGGTAGTCGGGATTGGCTTTCAGCCTGGACTCGATTCATCAAAGGTGACAAAATTTACTGGCTGTTGCTTCTATATTGCTACCCTGTTGAAATGTATTTGTTAAAGGTTTCTTTTCTTTCATGTGCTACTCCAGATTGTTAGTGCCTCTCAGGCTGGTGATATTCAGTTTCTGGATATTAGAAATCACCGGGATAGATATCTGACGATCGATGCTCATCGAGGTTCACTTACGGCATTAGCTGTTCATAGGCATGCTCCTATCTTAGCTAGTGGTTCAGCTAAACAGCTTATTAAAGTCTTCAGCCTAGATGGCGATCAACTGGGCACTATTAGATACCATCCTACCTTCATGCCCCAGAAGATTGGTTCTGTAAGCTGCCTCACCTTTCACCCGTACGAGGTGCTGCTCGCTGCTGGTGCTGCGGATGCTTGTGTGTCCATATATGCAGATGACAACTCTCAAGGAAGATGAGATTGATTTCCCCCGAGTGCCAAGTTGGACATTGAAGTGGCATATGCACATCAAACTTTCATCATGGGTCGTCTATGCAGTTCTCATATTGCTTGTTATCGCAAGCACGATTCGACTACAAGTTGAGCTGCCCCCATTCTTTGCTTTTAGCGTGTGGAAACGTCTCTCCATCATCAACAGTGTAAGCTATAAATTTATTGGCCTCTGGTGTACAGGTTCACAGCTGATCAGGAAGAAAAATCGGTCGTATTTATTGGGGCTTTGGAAAATAAAATTCTGTTGTATAGTTTAGATGGGTGTAAATATTTCCATTGTTCATCCTCTCTTTCTGGTGTGTTCATCGTTCAATTTGTAAAAGGCTGTCAAAACTTCTTTTTTCTTTTTCTTTTTTTAATCGGTTTCTTCGTCATCTTAGCATATTGTATATGGACGGAGCGATCATCTCCTGAAATTCTGGAGGTTCTCGATTCGTCCATATTCGATCAGTGTTGAATTATTGGTTTCACTTTGCACCTGCTGCATTAACCATTATGTAACTTGTAATTATGTCGCATAGTTTGACCTGATTTTCTTGTTGATTTTGTGAATATATAATGCTTGATTTTATGCTATTTTCCTTTGAGTTTCTAAGCAGATGGGATTTATTAGGAAAAGATGAAACCATGGGGAAAAATAGGATTAAAAAAAGGAGAAAAAAAGGCTGAAATGGCACATTTCAAAGACCATTCTAGGAAGAGAATCCAATTTTTCCTTTCACAGCCTCTGGTGTCCATTGTATGACAAAAAAGCTAAGAATATTTCTTATTCTTCTTAATGGCTTAAGGGTTGCTATAAGCTTGTGTTTGGTCTGGGTATGTGAAATATTTTTTAAGAGATTTATGAAATTTCTCTTAAATGAGAATTCGACCATTCAAAATGGATATAGGGAGAATTTACATTTAATTGAAAATTTTCTAAAAAATTAAATAAATGGATCATAACAACTCTAACGAATAACTAATATTTGAAATTAGAGATGTTCATCGGTTGGTTTGGATTAGGTTAGAGGGATTTTATGGACCAACTCAAAATTGGGTTGGTCGGGTCTATTACCCGAAAACCCTGAACAAAGTTTGCAATCTTACCTAAACCAAACCTTATATTTTTGGGTTGGATTTGGATTGGATGGTTGGGTTGCTAAGAAATTTCGTACCCGATTTGGATCCCAAACTCTAGACAACTTCTGCGGCGCTTCTCCCTTTTTTTTTTTTTTTTAATTTGATTATGGGTTCAGTTTGGTTAATGTTGGAAGAAAAACTTCCAATCAGATCAAATCGAAAAATTTTCTGACCAAAACCCAACTATTACAGTTTGCATTGAGTTGTCCAAGTTGCTTAGGTCACCGTGTTTTTTGAACACTCCAATTTGATCTCTGGTTGGATCTTTATGCATTATCTTATTTTCATTCACTCTTATTTCCTTGCAATAATTTCTCGACGTGCCCAAATTTTCTAGTTTGACAAATAAATCAATAGATAATTTATTTCATGTGTTCTTATCTATTTCAATGTCCAAGGATAATCTTGATGTTATTAAGACTGAGAATCCAAGACAGCTCAGCCTTTTGCTCTCATCGTATTTTAGCTGATCAACTTTCTCTTCTCGATTAGGATTAAGAAAAATCGATCTTCACGAATAAATTACTTTTGAGTCTCCGAATCCCCTTCAACGTTCACCAATCCATTATTCTCTACTATATTAAAAGCTTGCTCTTATCTAAACAAACTAGATGTCATAGAATTAAGTTACAAATCGCTATCTAAAAATTAAGACTCACGACTTTATTTTAGCAATCAACATGACTCTGATATTACTAGTTGGGTTAACGTGTACTCTTTACTCTACAATTGCCCACTTTAAACTTAAACTTGGTATGAATTTATTATTAGATTCTATTCAAAATGTTTCATACCAACGTAACAATCATCTGAGAGTAAGGAGAACGTGAGGGATTAAGTTACTTCGATTAACTAAAAGTTTCATTATGGGAAAATTCATTTGCAAGTTCCAAATGCTGAGGTAAGTTTTCCTTCTTCAATGCCTCTAAAACCCATAATTCACATTGTTTCAATTCAGAGAATATGAAAAAGCAGGAAATTATCTTTTAAAAGTGAAGCCAAAAATCTCTAGAGGAAGAAGTAGGATAAACACCATATATTAATTAATTGTTTCTTCAATTTTCTTCTCAATTGAAACTTCTTTGCCTTGAAATCATAAGATAATTTGCCAAATTGTCAAAAATAGTGTCTCAATGTTCTAATCCTGCACACTCAGCGCATACTGTTCTAATTGCCATCAATTTTGGATCTTTAGGCACGTGCTTGGACTATGTTTCAAGTTACGTCTCGGATTAGAAGTGTTAAGAACTTAAGATCAAGAATTTATTAGTGTGATTAGAGTTGCAACTTAGATTTAGAAGTTTGGTTCAAATCTTATGAAAAAAAGTCAATATCTTTATTGATATGTGAAGTCTTTTAGATAGAACCGAAAATCAAATGTACAAGAAATAGGTAACGGCAACTTTTGATCTCAAATAGGATTTCGAAACCAATTCCTATTAATTTTTCTTTTTTTCAAATAATAATGTACAAGCGAAGGTCAAAAATAAAGAACTTGTCTTTGTCAATTATCACTGTTTTTGAGTCATGGACGAGAGTGAATGAAAGTGACATACACAAAATAGACATGTGTGGTGGTGATGTTGTCTCTTGAGTGGTCATACCAATATTTTCAAAGCACGAGAAAATCAACTAAGACGTCGTTGAATGTGTTTGTCACAATGTGATCGTCACCCTCCAACCATTAGATGCAAGGTCAAAATACAGTCTTATCATAATGTTCTAGCTCCCTCAAATAACTTCTCCCTATTTCTTTGTGTGTCAAAAAAATATTTTTATCGAAGAAATAGAATTGCAAATTCTTGTAGGCCAGTACATTTTTCTTGATGTAGATTAGGTTTATTTTCGAAAAAATAAACATCAATTAATCTATCATACTAAAAAAAAATGATAAAGAATAATAATTTATTAATCTTGTATTTAGATTGATGCCTCTAATGTTTTCGGTAAAGAAAAAAAAAGACATACATATACAATCATAAGCTAATTATTGAGCATTGACCATAATAGAAAATTGAGAGAGATTTTTTAATTATTATATTGTTGAAAGGACAAAAAAAGAAAAAAAAAGTGAGGTTTGGAATTACTTTTTAAAATAGTATTTTGAAGCGAAGGAAAAAACTATAATCAAAATGTTTCTTTTAAAAGTATTATTGACTATATAGCCACCCTGGCCATTAATTTGAAGATTCCTGCGTTTAAATATTATTTTTTTAATTCTACTTTTTACTTTAATTCATTTTATTTTAGTACTTTTAAATATATCTGTATTTTCGATTTTTGTTTATTTTAGTCTTCATATATTTTAGTCTATATAATTCTAAAAGGAGGCAATTTTAGTCCATATTTATAAAATTTTAACCTAATAAAAGCTTTTAATACACAATTTTATGGTTACATTTTGAAGAAATATTGCGAGTGAAGTGTTGTATTAAAATTGTGTAATTAAAATCAATAAGATAAAAATAAAAATGAAATGATCAAAATGATGACTTTCTGTAGGAATAAATCAAATGTTTTGAAACTAGGTAGAGAAAGCGAACAATTATTGAGAACACAAATACCAAAATACACCCTCTGAAAATACATGAACAAAAATACTATCTAAACCTTAAAAAATTCACCAAATTGAGATACAACTCCACCCTTAAAAAGTAAATTTAAATTTAAACCCACTAGAATCTCAGAAGTGGTGTCATAGACTTGTAACTCACCTGCCAAAACATAGGATTAGAAATTATGCGTTCCATAAAAAAAGGACAAAAAAGAGAAAAAAAAAAAGTTAACTCGAGTGTGGAAGATAGAAAGGAAAACCTGAAACTAAATTATATAAAAAATAAAAAAATCTCACTCATTCAGCTCCCAAATATAGTAAAACCAAGAACATAAACTTCGTAAAAACCCACAAAAAAGAAAAAAGAAAAAAGAAAAAACCAAATGTCATAAAATAAGAACAAGAGATGAAAAGATCTGACCTGAAGCAGAAGCAGAAGTAGAAGCAGAAGCAGAAGGAGAGTTATAAATTAAGGTGCAGTGGTCACGATGGCGAAGAGGGGCACATGAAGAACTAACTCAGAAGCAGAAGCAGAATAAAAAACAGGGTTTTTTTTGGTGTAATTATTTTGAGAATCTGGTGTTAAAAAAGAGAAGAAAAAGAAGAGTGAAAATGTGGGATATTATTATAATTTGGAAAAACAGAGTTGAGTTAGTACAGCACGTGCCCTGCTTCTCCATCTTGCTCTTCATACACCTAATTAAATTTCTTCTTTCTGTGATCTGTGTGTGTGTGGAAGCAGAAGCAGAAGCAGATTATGCAGAAATTTGCAAGTTGTTGTTGGTGTTGGTGTGTGTATGTGTATTTGGTGATTTATAACAAAGTTGAAAAGTGGGTGTGTTTAGATTTGAAGCAACAAATTAAAGGGCTTAGTTGGGAGTGGGACCTCATAGKCATAGGGCTACCCTTCTTTTACAACTTCAAAATTAAATTGTAGGACCACTGCTCCTCTCCTCCCCAAGCTACCTTATAATTATTATATATGCCTTTTCTCACCTCAAAATAATCTAACTCTACTACCTACATTTTTGTTCTTCTTTTATTATAGACAAATGTTTTGCCAAGTTCTCGTAAGGAGCTCTTCTCTCTCTCACTTCTCCTTGGCAGCTACTTTTTAGGAAGGGGAAAAATTCATTTCGATGGGGGCTTTGTTGGCTGTGATGGTCCGAAATCAAAACAATCGCTTCTTGGGTCACGGTGGGACTGCGCTGCAGCTTGGCAGTGCCTAGGCGCCCAAGTATAGTGTTTAGGTGCTGTCATCTGGGCTTCTTGGTTGGGTCGTGTGTTGTAGTACTCTTTTGCTCTCTTCGTTAGATGCTGATAATGTTCTTGCGGCTGACAAAATCAAAGCTAACATTATTATTATGTGTGGTCCATGGTTTCATCACCCGGGTGTTTTGAAGAGTTATCAGGCACAAAATTGAACAGGGCTCCCGACTGCGATCTCTTGGGACGACTCTTCATTTTCGTTTCATTCTGGTTCAGAGAACTTCCATGGTTTAGAGCCATGATGGAGCAGAAGGCGGGCGACAACAAATGTGTGGCAACGGTTGACTCAAACACCAATTTGGAATATGTGGAGGGTATCAGTGTTAATTGTATTGAGATCCGTGACTGATTTAGGAAATTTGCCTAATCTTTCTTTACCCGTCATGGTGGAGAATAAGACAACTTTGGAGATAATTATTTTCCCTCAATTAATTGATGAATCTCTCACGAAATCATTAGATGGGGTTGAAAATATTATGATTTTGGAGAAAGTGTTTAGTGAAATTCCTAGTTCTTTGAATATATAATTTGTTTTATTCGCCAAGTGTAATGAATTTTATATTTTTACCAAAAAAAAAGAGTCTACTTTTCCTTCTTCGACTCCAAAAATAAAATTTTTGGTGATTGTTCTTATTTTTATACATGAATCCTGCCTTCCCAATAATCACATTGGTTAGCCGAACTTATATGCCCAATGTTCAACACATTAAGACACCTATACTATTTGAAACCATGTATTTATATGTTATAAATAAGATAATTAGGTAAGAATCAAAATGATTATTTTTTAAACTCTAGGAATTTATAAAAAGAAAAATGAAATTTAAATAATTATATCTCCGCTGAGTATGAGAGTGACAATAATTTTTTAGGCATTAAAATATTGGGCTATATGTATACACAATCCTATGATGAAAGCAACTTAAATTGAAAAATAATGATGGGTTATTGTCAAAATTTCATACAGTATAATTGCTCATGTTGTTTCCTTGGACTGCTTCTCACCACAGAACATGCTCTTCTATATGTCTTAATCTTATGAAATGTTGCTGTCCCAAATCTTGCAACTTTGATTATTTTTTCTTTTACAATAAATATATAATATTATATCAATCAATAATGAAAAATGTCAAATTATTAGCTTTCTATGGTTTTCCCATTTACCCCATCGCTTGAAAATGTGTAACATGAACCAATTATTTCAAGTTAATTTTATTTGTATATGTTATTATACTTTGTACTTTTTTATTTTTGTCTTTTCTATGTTTAGCAATGCCATTTGATGGTGTCACATCTTGTAATTCATGATCACATCAACTTTGGTATTAAAAACAATAACTTTGTGTAGCTGTTTATAAGTTTGGTTGATTATAATCAATTTTGATTTGAATTATGGTCCTCTCCTATAAAATTATGTTGCATAGTGGAGCTAATAATAATAATATAAAAACCATGGTTAGTGAGATATGATACACATTTATCTAAATTAGAAATATATTCTATTATTCATAGCTCAATCTCTCTGTTTTAGTTTTTATTTTTTATTTTGGTCCCTTTAGTTCGTTTCGGTCATGTAGTTTCAACTTTAGTTCTTATTGTACTTTTAAAATGTTCATTTTTGTCTTTATATTTTTAAAAAGTGATCATTTTGATCCCATAATTTTACATTTAATCTCATTTTTTTAATTACAATTTCAACACGACATTACAATCCATATATTTCTTAAAATGTAAACATTATTTTATACTAAAGAGTTTTGTTAGCTATAAAATTTGTGTTAAAATTTTATAAAGGACTAAAATGATCATTTTTCAAAAGTATAGGGAACAAAATAAAATTTTTAAAGTATAAGAATCAAAATGAACCAAAATTAAAAGTATAGGAACCAAAATGAACATTTTCAAAGTACAAGACTAAAACAAACCAAGGCCGAAGTACAAGCACCAAAATGGTTAGGAGGTGGGGATTGAACTCATAATCTCTTGATTGGAGATATATGTCAATTACCGCTGAGCTATGCTCACTTTGGAAAATAGTATTTTAACCATTAAAGTATTTATTATGGATTCAAATATAAATTGATAGGCTTGTATTTGGAGGGAGAAAGTGCACATGTATATTAATGACAATTGGTAAATATATTAGAGACAAAAAATAAGTGAAGAGAGATAAAATAAACAAATAATAATAATTATATATAATTGTTACAAACGGATACAAACCTACAAACCCTACTTTTCAAATAAAATAAACCATGAGATGTTAACGCCTAAATGAATTACCAATCTTGATGAAACTATATAGTAAAATCAAATGCAAAATATTATCATTTTTCCAAAAAAGAAAGAATATAAAAATATTCATATCAAACATATATGGTCCCATAATATCTTATTCATAATCACGATCAAATAACAAAAGGTGGAAGAAATTAATCTCGTGTTAAATAACATTTTCTTTTTTATCTTCTGTTTTAAAAAATCACGCCTATTTCTTTTTAATTTCTATAAATTTCACTTTTCTTATAAATACATAATTTTTAGTCATATATTTTTTAAGTTGAACTTAAATTAAAATTAAAAGTAAGGCCTAAGATAAATTTGTGAGTGCCACAAAATGGAATGGTGTGGTGGGGCAAGAGAAGCACAAAGAAGAAGGGTGGGTTCATGATTGGTGCGGGTTTTCCATTTTATTATGGCCTTTATTTATTTGGGGAATTAAATTTGAATTCTTTAGCTTTATATTTTTATAATTATTATATATATTTTTAAATTTCGAGAGAGAGAGAGGGTTGCACATGATCATGCTAGCACCAATATTGGGTGTTGTACAAATTGTCCTTTCTTTTTAATGGAGTCCCCTTCAACTCTCCCACTCCCACTCTCTCAAATGCCTTAAAAAAACATTTCCCTTCCTACCAATCACTAAATAAATAAATAAATAAAAAAGTTGGATTATAAATTTGATCTGAAGTATGAGATTGATCATGATGAGGTTTGAATTCATTCTCTTTAAATTTTTTTTAATTTATCTTCGTTCATTTTGGACCAATAAGCTAATTCACGAGGATTGGGATTTGTATAAATTTTAAAAAGTGATTTATTAATAAATTTCTACACTTTAAATATTAGGTCTATTATGTTTCTAAAATTTAAAAGAATGTCCAGTAAGTCGTTAAAATTTCAATTTTATGTCTATCGAATACCTAAACTTAAAGAAGTGTCTCATAAGTTAAAGATCTAAATATTAGACAAAATCGAAGTTGAGGGAGATATTAAGAATGTGTTTGGGAATGATGGGAGAAAGAGTGATTTTGAAATTTTTTTTTAAGTATAATTGATTTCCCAAATTCACCCTTAAAAGTAATACATTAAAAATCAATTTAAAGTGATTTTAAATCTTCCTAAAATCAGTTTTTAATTTGCGATCACTAGAAAAGAAAATAATTTTGACAATAACAAAACTGATTTTGACCATGTTAAAATCACTCCCAAACAYACCCTAAATACAACATTAAAAGTTTGGAGACATATTTTAGACACTTTTAAAGTTCAAAAAATCTATTACACGTAGCATTGAAAATTCATACACTTACTAGACAGTTAACCTTAAAAGTTTAGCTACTATTATGTCTAAAATTTAATGGCCAAAAAGGTATTAGGCAAGTTTTATAACATAGTTATGCACATAATAGAGTAATATTTTTTCTCTTTTTGATATCTGTGAGTGTTCAGGCCAGCTTACAAGTACCTCGACAAATCTCACGGGATAATCACTTGATCCTACAACATTTGGTGCCGGGAAACATAAAAAAATTACTAATTTAGTAATATATTTATCTTTTTATGTCAACTAGCAATATCAAATCAGTTTAGGTATATTTTGTCTAATTTCACATAACCACCCCTAACTTTATAATATTTTATTGTTAAAAATGACCTCATGGTTTGTGGCTTTCACGGRGTTTTTGAACATAATCGAAAGAACCTTATTTCTACCGAAAGAATAAGTATAAAATAACTAAGAAATTTAATTAAAACAAGAAAATAAAGAAACATAAGAACTAACGTGAAAAATTCCAAACCAAAGAAAAAATCCATTATGTGAAAATTATTACAATTATACAGATTTCTTTTTCTCAGTTCAAATATTATACAAAACACACTCTCAAAGCAAATACTATTTCAATKGAGAGGAATACAATCAAGGCCATGAGCTCCTTTTATATTACTTTGAGAACACTCCTCATTGTATCGTTTCGACGTGGGACAAACTTCACTTCTAATATTTTGCCGAAACTCAACAATTCTCTAAAATTCTCTTTTCACTTTTTCACATATTTGAAATTCACGAGTTAGATTTATATACCTCATAGTTAAGTAGTCAAATCCTCTAATTTAATACTTAACTATAAATTTATTAATCTGAACTCAGATTAAATAGACCCAATTTCTTATAACTCATCCTTTTATACAATTTAAACATATATTACACAAACTCAAGCTTCCCGACTTCAAACTCTCATTGACCAACT